ATTCATAGGTCTGTTTTCATTAGTGTATAATCACCTGAATCATTCAATATTTCAAATTTAGCTTAACTCTTTCTGTTCGGTTTCCTCCATCTTTCCTGTTTAAATTCCAAATATTTCTTTTCTGTGACAATAATGATGAGAAGAAAGCAAGCTGAGAATTGAATTAATTGAGTAATGGTGTGTTTTATTAGTGATGAATTAAACTTTTTATTTGTAAGAAGAACAATGTGCTTTTTCTCAAGAATAGTGAACAGTCTCACAAGGTTAATGTGAGGTAAGAATCAGCTCATATCATCGATATATAAAAGCAATTACTCAAGTAAGTCAAATATTTAACTCAAGTATTTGATTTAGAGAAAGGACGTAGATTTACTGCTGTACTGTTGAGATGTTTGGAGAGCTGACTCATCTACCATTCAGGTGTGCATTGTGTTGGACAACACTGCCCATTACGTCACACAAATCACATGCACTATATTGATATCTTTGGTTATACTTTGCCGTTTACTAATATGTTCATACTGGGAAAGACGACCAAAGGTCACTTAAACTCGACTACAAACAGGAGGATTTGATTGAAATGCTGAAAAACAACAAAATGTGTCAACAGGTGACAAAATAAAAGATTACAATATGTTGGGATAAACTGAACACACCTACACCTTTGTACCTAAAGTCACCCCACACCCTGTCACGCTAGTTTCGGTTACACCCGAGTTCAAGCAGACTCGACAATTTAAACACTTTGGACAATCCTCATGTCCTCTCGTATTGCTCTCACGAATATATAATCTCATACATAGAATTAAAATGTTCTCTGGTGTAAAACAAAACTTTTCTCATCTGGGAAGCACAAAATGTCTCATCTGACAACAAATCACCAGAAAAGGCATCTACAAATATCTGACTGACTTGCTTTTACAATCCTGTGTAATAAAATAGCAAAATATAAATGTTAAATATGTCTACATAAATAAAGTCAACTCTCTGCACATAATTGTACAATTAAACAAGGTAAATCACTGACAATTGAGGTATCATGTGACCTAAGTGTTGCCACACATAGCAACACCTCACCGCTCTGCAATGCTGACCGACATGTTACACACGTCACCTGTTCCCTGCTGCTGCCTGGGAGGAATCTGAAATCCAGTCTGACCAGATCCTCCGAGCTATTGAGTCATCTCATCCATCACACTCACACACACACACACACACACACGCACACACACACGCACGTGTTGCTAAAGACTTTGAATTGTCACACGGGTCTGAAGCGAGGTCTCATGGGAACAATAACACTAATTAAGAAAAAAAAAGAGAAGCTAATTGTGTTCAATTACAGCAGACTGTTTGTTCACTGCAGCAGAAGTGTCTCAACCTGTAATTGGTTGTGTCTTCACCTCCTGTTGATTGCAACAGATTTTCTACACAACAGCACATTTCAATAAGAGAACGGGCTCTGGGTGCGATGTTCACCACGTATCTCAACAGAAACAACAAGACACGATAGGCAGACCCGAGGACATTGGCATGTGAGCTGTATTTGAAAGACTACTACTACTACTACTACTACTACTACTACTACTACTACTACTACTACTACTACCACTACTAATTACAAAACAGATGCTTGAGTGGAGGTGAAGTGTTTATCGTGGGTGCACTTCAAAGCACATCCTTCTCGTACACACTCGTTCAAATACATTTTGGCACGAACAGCCCAAAAAAAATGCCAAAAATGTTCCTTCTCCCTTACTGGAAATTCACACTGTTTGCTTTTACGTCATTTAGCTCTCACAACCATAAACAGCCTCCGCACAGGTACATGAGTGAGACACTCACCTGAAAGACAAAAAAAAAAGCAGCCAAGGCTTTTTTTTTTAAAATGAGGATGACTTGCTGAAGTCCTGAGAAATGTCTTAAAACAGTGGTTTCAAACTGTGTCTCATAGTATGGCCACTTCAAGTACAAGAAAGTGCAATATTTCGACATTTTGTTTTTAATTATTTTACATCATCTTTGTTGTTCGCAGCCAAACAACAAATAAAGGCCTGAAACCTTCTTCCTCACTTCTTATCAACCAACTATTGTCATTATTTTGCACCAAACAAACTTCTTAAAAACAGAAGTGTGTTTTTATTTTGATTGTATATCAAGTTAGTAGTTTAAATGAAACAGCCACAAAAATGTATTTGAAACAATAATAATCCTGCAGGCTGGATTATATAATAATGTTTCATGTCACAGTCCGGATGGAGAGAGGATGGAGGGCCAGAAATGGCCCCTGAGCTGGCAGTTTGACCCCCCTGTCTCACACCACAACTGTTACAGTAACCAGCAGGTTAAAACTCAGAGTCTTTACTTGAGTAAAAGTAGGAATACAACATTGTAGAAATACTTTGTTTGAGGTAGAAGTCAACATTTCACTTACTGTACGTGTAAAGAACATCCCTTTCTAAGAATAGATCTCTATATAGGCCTATTTATCTATATCTATATACCATTTAGACAGTGTTTTATGGTAGTTTTGTATTGGTGGATCAATAATAATGTGTAATAATTTATAAGATTAACATTTTATATATAAAACCTTAACCTGCAAAGCAGTAAGTAATGACAGCTGTCAAATAAATGTAGTGGAGTGAAAAGTACAACATTTATCGCTGACATGTAGTTGAACTAGAAGTGCAAAGTAGTAAAAAATAAATTATATAAAGCACATGTAGCTCAGAATTCATAAAAGTACAGTATGTGAGGCAGAGAGCAGCAACTACAGAATCTCAAGTTTAAAAGAGTTCATCTACAGTTGATCTACTTTTCATATTCTGCTTTTTTAGGTTTATTATTTTACTTATTAATAAAAAAAACGACAATACATAATACCTGAACAAGCAGATCTTTGACTAGGGGTATGAGAGTGGAAAATGTACCTAAATTCAAATTGTGTTAGATAAGTTCTAGTGGGTTGTTGCTTTGTAGGACTGTTAGGTGTGTCTGAACTAATTCAAAAAGGATTTACAGGCTTAAATATGTATAAATAACACAAGTAATTCAAATTTATACAACTGTAATAAAATCCACTTGGATAGCAAGGAACCTGTTTGAGCTCTGAGGCGTGGCACTGTACTAAATCACCCTCTCAATGTGTGGAGTCAGTCTTATACTGCCCTCTACTGCTCCGTCACTGACACTGCAGATCATGGTGCATCAGCTTATTGAGGAGCCCAAAACAAAGAGGGAGACAGAAAAAACAAAGAATATATCAATGGCTAACTCTTTAAAAGACTAATCCAACACCAAAGAAAAACAAGAAAAGCAATTACAGAGGAATCTGATGTGGTGGAAAGTGTCCCGTTTCAGGTATCTCCCCCTCTAATCAGTGCTTTGGGAGGAGTCAGTACCCAAGATTTGTTTGTTAGATAAGAGTGTTGAAATGTGCGTTGTCTCTAGTGTCAACATTACCACAGCAAGGTCACATGTTAAGGTCCTATGAACTGGGAAGAAAACAGTGAATAACACAAGCCGATATAAAACTCCCTCTGTGAGTCATGTGCTACAACACCAAACCCAACACTGTGCACGGAAAGTTAAATTAAGAAGCCATGTCGTAAGATTAATATGAAAAACAAGTAAGTGGAAAAGTCTGATGGAGGGTAAATATGCAAACACTGTTGCCAAAGCTTTCTCTAGGTAGGGATAATTATCATCTGCACAGTACAACCTCACAAAAGGTGAAGATAAATGCACCCGGGCGGGTCCGCTGTGTTGTATAAATACTCTTGGTTTGCATTTGGATATAATGGCATCCAGATATGGGAGGAGTAGCCAGAGAGATCATTTTTATCCCCTTCTAATAAAAACACAACTTAAAGCATGTTTGGGAAAGAAGAACTAACTTTTTTCCTTAAAGGACTCCCTTTTCTTTTGTATACAATTCTCTGTCTTTTTATTAGAATCTTTCAGGCAACTTTAGTGTTTTCTTGTCCCTGATGCGTAGACATTGTTGTGTTTCACAATTTAGGCCTACTCTGTGTATATTTTCATTTAGTTTTCTAACACGCCTTAAAATAAAAAAGGCCTTGTGACCCCTCCCTGAAGCTTTGGCGACCCCTAGTGGAGGTCCCGACAACACAAGTTGGGAACCAAAGGTTCACAACAAGCACAGACAGCCAAGGCTTTTATTACAATGATTACATTATTTGTTTTTTTTTTAAGAAAATGCAATAGGTTAATTCAAAAATGCAGTGTACACATTACAACATGACGTCCATATCTTATCTTCCTCAGTCCACAGCCTCTCTAGACTTTTTCCTCCCAGCTTAAGAAATTTACAGACATCTGGATTACAGAGGTGTGTATTTTTGTCTATTTTTCTGGCAGTTGCTTCTCTCAGTAGCCTGTAAGATGTTGACTTCAAAAACCAACCAGACCGCCATCTGAAATCATTAACTTTTCCCCAGAGTACACACACACACACACACACACACACACACACTCATCCCTCATTTGTAGAAGGGAGGTGTGACATCTCAGTATGTAATTATCTGCATTTGTGAATCACCCGTGTGTCACAAACAACTATTTAAAGTAGTCACCTGAGAGGATAAAAAGCAAAACCAGGATAGGAATACAGTTCCCGCTAGTTAGGGTGTGGTTTGAAACAGGAGCCAGAAACAACAGTAAAGAGGGGATCCCGAAGACAAAAATGGACTACAATGGCCTCAAAAGACAATAGCAGAGGAACAAATGGTCCTTATAGTGCGCCCCGGTCGGCAGACCCTCTGTAGAAGTGGAATTTGAGACCTTGGGCAAAGCCTCAACTGTTTCAGGGTGAGGAATTTCTCATGTAAAGGGCTCGCAGGTTGGAACATGATTCAGTCATTTAATAACGCCTGGAAAAAAAACACAAAAAAAAAAAGAAAGAAGGTACAGCCTCGTACCACAAACAGGCTGCCTCACCCCAACCTGTAATAACAGCATTAGAGTAAAGCCCTGGGATGTGCACATCGGATAACCACAGCAAAAACTCTGCAGCTACTTTGTTTCACCTGGTGGGAAGCAACAACTCATCCTGTGTTCTGTTCAGTCCTACAAAGCAGAAGTCATTAGCAAATAATCCGTATATCATTTGCTCCAGTAAGAGAGTTTTAAATTCCCACAACAGCGTCTTCAAATTTCTTGTGTTATCCAAAAATATGTTAGATGATGAAGAAAATCAGCAAATTCTCACAGCTGATGTAATGTCTGAATTCATGCTTAAAAAATGAGTAAATTATTAAATCAAATGATAAAAAACAGTAGCACAATTGCTGTAACACAAAACTGTACTTTTACATAACTATTTCAACTGTTAATTAAATACTTTTAACCTAACGTTAGCTAACTAGTCATACATTAGCTAAGTACTGTTTATTCGTTACTTTTAGCTAACTATTTCAACTATTCGTGTATTACGTTTACTACTTCCACATTTTTTGTATTAGCTTACTTTTAGCTAACTATTTCGACTAATTAATTAACTTAGTTACTTTAAATGCTAGCTAACTATTTCAACTGTTAATTCAACTATTTCAACTATTCGTCTATTATGTTTACTACTTCTGCATTTTTTGTATTAGCTTACTTTTAGCTAACTATTTCATCTGTCCTGAATCATTTGGGATAAGTAAATGAGCTCCTTCAGATGAAAATGAAGGACACAGAAAGTGTTTGAATATAATAACCAAAACAGGTGATGTTATCTTATCAAATGAGTTTTTATCAGTCCTAGTATAACAAGTAACCAGTAACCATAACACAGGACTATAGGCTAGTTAATCTAAAAGTAATCTGAATTTCCTTTTTTTTATTTTTATCGACTGGTTCCTAAATTATCACAACTGTGCAGAAGTGTGAACACACCCAGTCAAACAGCCCCAAGCTCTGGACACTTCAACACTGAGCACACACTGGGAACCTGAAAATACATGACAAACACTAACCAAATCCCACCCAAAGAAAGCACAATTTTAAAGTGTGTACTTGACAGGATCAGGAAACAAAGTTGAGCCCTTTTTCTCTAATTTTTCAAATTAGAATCATGGAAAATATATATTTTCTAAAAAGCTCCATGAAGAAGCAAAATGTAGAAATTTAACACAATCTAATCATCAAAAACCTGCAAGAAGGAAATGTCAACCTGAACACAGCAACACTGCTGAGATATCTTTAAGACATTTTTAAGTCTCAAGAAAACACAGACACGCCAAACTCCATTTAGAAAAACGTAGATTTAGTGAGGAACACATTTTAAACATTCATTCCTAAACATGAGTCAGATTTTACACCACTTATGTTTTAGAGGTCAGTTACAAGTAAATTAGGAGACATTTTGACAACATTTTAAACAAATAAATCATTATTTAGAGGAGTTTCTCACCGATTGCAAAGCAGAATCCGACTGCAAAAAGCTGGAGAATAATTCTGTTCATCTTGGAAGGAGAGGAATGAGCTTACAAAACTCGACTTTGTGGAGAAGCTGCCCGCTTTGTGAGGACTCAGTCCGTTACAAATGTGATCAAACAACTTTTTTTTTTCCTGCCTGCGGACATCGCTGCATTTATAATCTTCCACCTCCCATCCAAACGTCACCGTTATCCAATCAGAGGACGCATTCAGGGGCGTCCACCCAGTTTGTGTGTTTTCAAGATCTCCCACCTGTGTGATCGACAGGTAAAGGGGGGGACTGGTGCTTCCTGTATGGATTTTTTGGGGGCTCAAAAGTGACTTTAAATGTTGTTTTATGAGCTTTTAAGCCACTTAAAATCAGTGGTGGAAAGTTATAGGCAACATTTATTGGGTGTTTTCTAATTTTATTTCCATTTTATGCTACCAATACTTCTACTTTTCACTGGCAAATATTCTACTTTTTGCCACAGCTTATTATATTTAAGATTTCACCCACCAAACATATATGAACTTCTGATTTAAATCCAAAGTAGTGTCCATGCTACTCAAGTAATACACAGCTTTGTTGTGTGTTTCAGTGAGGCTTGAATGTGACTTTATAAACCTGATAAGAACTTATAATGCTTGCATACCAACCCTGCTGTTGAATTTACACGGGTCACTTAAGATAAACAGGTAGATTAAAGGTTCCTTTATGTATGTAATCTCTGCTTAGATCAAATAAACCATTAAACAAAGGTGTTGTGGTTTGAACATTAACATTAAAATTCATTTTCAAGTACTAAATCAAGGAAATGTATTTATCATTATACAACACAAGGCTG